CAGGAATTCTACAGTTGTATTAGAGTTTGGGGGGTGAATTGGTGTTATGGAGATGAACATAAGGGTCTCCAAGGAAGAAAACCCATTGCCCACCCTCCCTCTCACAACAGCATAAGAGGAGAGAGGATCTCCATCCGCTCAGTCTCACACGGCCGCCACTGGTGACTATTTAAATGTTTGAACAATTAGAAGTTCAGCTTCCTGGTCAGATGAACTACATTTCAAGTGCTCAATCCCCAGATGTGGCTGGTGGCTACCATAATGGAAGCACAATACAGATGTGCAGACTTTCCATCAGCAAAAAAAAAAAAAAAAAAAAAAAAATGCTCCATATGGTTGTGTTTCCTGTTAGTGCTAATCTAGGTAGAGCAAGACCAAGAGACCAGTTTTGGAGACTCTGTCTGGAAACCACATTGCTGTTCAGTCTGCTTCTTGGGAATGCAAAGACATAAAACTGGTTTGGAACGCTCAAGGCCCCCGCCAGGTCAGCATGCCCTTCAAAGGTGCTTGGTGTCACAGAGCAGGAGAGGTTAGGAGGAAACTTCTTGACCAACCAAAGCCACAGAATTCCTGCTCAGACTAATTTTATGCCACCCACCCCCACACCACTCCAGTGTCCTGCCCAAAGTGTAGTAATTACCTTGATGCAATCTGATTGTTACTGTAAATTATTTACAGCTAAATGGCTTACAGCTTGGTCTTTATTTGTTTTGGAGAAATTGATTCCTCAACATTTTAATGTCTGTTATAACCGAAATAAATTCCTTGGCCCTGACCTTCACCTCCCCTCTACCCTAGAATGGAAGTGGTCCCCGTCTAGAACAAGTGTGTGGAAAAAACCTGGTAAGTTGGATGCTAGTATTAGGTGAAACCATATGTAATTGCCATTTATGTAGGTGAGGAATTGTTCAGCAATTTTATATGGCTCACACTGGCTAGCCTAGTTAGAAGTTCCTAAGAATTTTTTCTATTTGTTTTTTATTGAATGCATTGGGGTTACATTGGTTAATAAAATTATATAGGTTTCAGGCATACAATTCTATAATACATCATTTGTACATTGTACTGTGTGCTCCCCATCCCAAGTCATGTCTCTTTCTGTCACCATTTATCCCCCCTTTATCCTCTCCTGCCTTCCCCTACCCCCTACAAATTTAAATATCACCCTCATAGGGAGAGCCAACCAGGGACTGGTCGCAGTTGGGGTCACTTCCAAAGTAAAGGCTGCTGGGAAGACCCAACTCTTCAGTGCAGTTAGGATGGTGAGGGTTGTTTTGAGACAGACTAATAGACAGAGACAGACTCAGGGAACACAGCAGACTATGTCCTGAGGAGTTGAGGAGCAAGATCAAAGCCAGAGGCAAAAGTCCGGGGTGTGGGAGTGTCAGGGAGCCCAGCCTGGGACACCCTGGCGGGATGGCCTCAACCCCTCCAGCCTCCACAAGGCACTAACCCAACATCTCCCGTGTCCCGGGGAGACAGGAGAACGGCAGACTGAGTTTGGCAGCTTTCATGCATTTGGGTTTTGTGACAGTTGCAAAGAAAGCACAGGGTCAGGAGAGGGTCAGAGGGCCTTAGGGGAGGGGAGGGGCAGGGC